TTAATATCTATTGCAGCTTCTTTAAAAATGGAACTTCATCCAACAAAGAGTAATTTATCATTTATTATGGAGGAAGTAAAATAAATTTTATTATTAATAAAGTCTAATCAGTTATTAACCGATTAGAATTTTAAGTATGTAATTATGAAAAAGATTAATATAGTGATTTCTGGTCCTTGTGCATTAGGAAAATCAAGTGTTGGTAAATTGTTAGTGACAAAATTAAATTATCAATTTATAGAAACTGATTTATTTTATCAATATTTAGTGTCAAAAACATCAAGTTTTGATGAAGAAGAATTGATAAATATTTTAAATAATGAAGAACTCAAATATTTATTTCAGATTGATAATACAACACTTTTTTATGGAGATGGTATAAATAAACAAGCATTTGAGTTATCAAAAAATGATAATATTCGTAAAAATATTAGTGAAATTATTCAAAAAAATACAAGACAGAAAGGTTTTGTGGTGGTAGGTTGTGATTCAACTGAAATTCTTCCCGATGCTGAAATTAAATTTTATTTAACAGCTAATTTTGAAACACGTGTTGATCATCGACAAAAACAATTTAATTCAGAAGATTTGATGTGGTAGATATAATAACACGTGATTCTTCTTTGATTAAAAAAGCGCAAAAAATATCTGATAATATTGATACAACATATCTTGAAATATCAGAAGTTGTTGATTTGATATTGAAAAATGTTTTTAACAAGTTATTCAGGATTCAATATGAAAAATATTTTAGGGTTTTAATTATTTTATTTGTTTTGTATTTTATTAGTTTTTTTAATAAAATTTAGTCTAGTTAGTCGTTAAGACCAACTAGAATTTTTTTTACGTAAGCAAAAATGACTAATAAAAGAAGAAGAGAAAATAATAAAGCTGAAGACAATTCTCAAAAAAATACTGATTCTCAAAAGAATACTTCTGAAGCTGAACTTAATTATTATCTTGAGTTAAAAAATTATGAAGTTTCAAATGAAATTGATAATAACGCATATAGCGTAGCATTTCCAGATAAACAAAAACGGTATGAATTTATAGAATTATATTTAACATATTTAAATGCTTGTGTTGCAGAAAATAATAGAATTATTCAATCATTGCCTAAAAATCGTAGTGATCATAATTTTTTCAGGGCAAAAAAATTCAAAGAAACTTTAAAAAAGAACAAAAGTTTTGCTGAATTTTCGGTAAAACGTTTAGAAACTGAGATGGAAGATCTTGAAGAAGAAATTAATGAAGTAAAATAATTTTGTTGTATTATTTAATAAATATATATTATCTGTTTAGTCTTTGACCAAACAGAATTTTATTTACGTAAAAAAGATGTGTTTACGAAACAATTTGAAAGAAATTTCTAAATCAAAATTTATGGTCAAAAGTGATTATAACTTTAGAACAGTATATTATAATGGTATACTTGTTCATAGAAGTGAACGAAATAGTAAAAAACCTAAACCAAAATATGTATTTACACGTAAATATATTAGAAAGAAAAAATATAAATCTTCGATTTGTTCAGATTCTATTTATCATGGTGATTTAAATTCAGATTCAGATTGTTCAATTTCAACATATATAACTGATAATGGTTTTGTAGTTAAAGATAATTTTAAAAACTATCATTTTTCAATTCAGAAAGGTAATGAATTAAGATTTGAAAGAGAAGAAAGAAAAAAAGATCCTGATTATAAAGGAAAATACATAGTGAATCAAAATAGTGTTGTTAATAATAATAACGGTATTGAGTTTAGTGATATAGATTTAAAAATAGATGATTCGGATGATAAATTAATTTCTGAAGAACAAGCATTAAATTTAGCAATAGAAAAAAATTCTTCTTGTTATATTTAATCAGTTTTAAGACCAATTAAAATTTTAAATATGTAATTTAACAAAATGGTATCTGAATACGAAGCAGCAAAAAATTAGTATAATAGTTTATTTGAGTTTAATTCAAAATATTATACTTTTATTAATGTTTTAAATCAAATTGAAAGTCAAGGATTTACTATTAATACTAAAATACCTATTAGTGAGATTAGACTTCAAATTAATATCAATACCAATTTGCTGCAACAGACTAAATTAACGATTGATAAATATGAAGATGAAAGAAGAGAATTTTCTTTGTGTTTTTTTGTTTCAGATTCTAAGAAAATCTGGTTGAGTCGTTGTAATAATCCTGACAAAGATTTCTATGATTGTTATCAAGCAACAGGTGGTACAAAAGAAAAAAATAAAACTTTTGAACAATGTGCTTGTAGAGAAGCTAAGGAAGAAACAAATATTGAATTAAATGAACTTGAATTTATTACCTTTCAAGAAGGATTTAGAGAAT